ATGGTGGTCTAGCATAGACTCTGATGCCAATCTTGCAAACTCGGTATAGCATGTATCAAACGTGCGTTCTTTAGTCGGCATGTGAAGTGCGGTGACAGCCAAAATGGCGGCAGACAGCATTGACGAAGACCGTCGAACAGAGGTCAAGTCTTTATGTGCTAGCAAGGCTCCATCCCATAGATAGCGGTTGAGTACCTGGTCGAACTGATAGAACAGTTCCTCCGCTTCCTGGATATCGACCACTCCGCGCGAGATGAGATCAGTGACCAGTGCTTGGTCAGGGGTAAGCTTTTGTCCTGGCGAGCTCTCGCGGTTTTCGCTGAGCTGCGTCACCTCGTATAAACTGCCCATTGGTGCTGTGACCAGAGAGGTTGCGCCAGCTTCCTCGCGGTCCAAAGAATATCGTGGCTGTTGTTGGGGGAAGCCATAGTTTGACCTTGCAGCTGTGCCATTTCTTGTTGTATTGTCAACTGGCTCAGCTCTTCTATGTTGTACAAGTCCATTATCATCGGTCGAGACGGTGGAGTCTTTCCGGCCTCTCTTGTTCGAAGGCGCCTCGATTGTACCACCGCCTGCTTGGTAGTATGATAGCTCTGGTAGCTGGGATTTCCTGAGTAGGTCCGTCATTGCCGATTCGATCATTGATTTCCACCTGTCGTAGTCGGCGCAATCAGTATATGTTACCAGTGTAAATAGCCAATATAAGGCACTCACTCAGCTTCGTCCTCTAGTAACGTTTGGAGGCTTTTATTCACAACACACTCTAGTCCCATACGCTGACACCGAGAGCACACCGAGTCAGTTGCCTTCATGTCACAGCGCACCTTGTGCCGCTTACACTCAGTGCATGCCCGTATCCGTCGAGAGATCTTCGGAACATGGTGAGGGCGGTCCTCCGGAGTGAAGGCACCCTGCGGGGGAGAGTCGGACGAGGCTTCGCCATTGGTCTCGAATTGAATGCGATTCCGCTTCATATTATTCTAGAGTGGACTCATCCTCCTGGCGCATTCCGGGGAAGATAGAAAGGCGGGGTCGGAGCAGCTTCACCCCCATGGACCGGCCGGTTCTGGCCCGAATTACTCATTGCCGGTTGGCCGCCTGAGGCATACATGCATATTCAGGCATCAAGAAGGCTGGAATTGACCGGTCACCTGACCTTGTGGTACACTATACCCAATTAGGTTTAAATGGTGTCGCGCTTCCAGCCCAGCGCGTTCGCGTATTGCGACAGGTCAAGCTCAACTCTCTACACAGACAACAAGATTGCAATTTGAGAAAACCTGAGCTCACATTCAAGATGGGTATTAAACGTAAGTATCTTACTCTCAATTATTCAAATCTCTTTGCTAAATAAATACCAGATCTGTACCAAGTGATCTCCGAGAATGCCCCCGATGCGATCAAGACGGGCGAGATCAAGAACCACTTCGGCCGCAAGGTCGCAATTGTATGAATTGTATAACTTTCGATATATCTTCATATGCTGACTTATACATTCTTCAAATTAGGATGCGTACGTTATTGGATCACCGGTCCGGTAGCTCGAGAATCTCTAGTCGCTAACCCAGAACAGGTCAATGAGCATCTACAGTTTCCTGATCGCCGTGCGCTCGGAGGGTCAACAGCTCATGAGTGAGTCGGGCGAGACCACATCCCACCTGATGGGCATGTTCTACCGCACTCTACGAATGGTGGATAACGGTATTAAACCTCTTTACGTTTTCGACGGAGCTCCGCCGAAGCTCAAGTCCGGTGAATTAGCCAAGCGTGTCGCACGCAAGGCTGAAGCAACCGAAGCCCATGAAGAAGCCAAGGAAACTGGAACTGCGGAAGATATCGAAAAGTTCTCACGACGGACTGTCCGCGTCACCCGTGAACACAATGCAGAGTGCAAGAAGCTCCTTGGGCTGATGGGAATTCCTTTCATTAATGCACCGACGGAAGCCGAAGCCCAGTGTGCTGTCCTGGCTCGTGCGGGCAAGGTGTACGCAGCTGCATCAGAGGATATGGATACATTGTGCTTTGAGTCGCCGATTCTCCTGCGCCACCTGACATTCAGTGAGCAGCGCAAGGAACCTATCCAGGAGATCCACTTGGATCGAGCGCTTGAGGGTCTTGATATGGACCGCGCACAGGTACGGTATCCTAATTATGCTACGCGTAATCACAATTGCTGACTATGTCTACCATGCAGTTCATCGATCTCTGCATTCTTCTAGGCTGTGATTACCTAGAGCCTATTCCCAAGGTGGGAGCCACCACTGCCCTCAGCCTAATCAAGGAACACAAGTCTCTGGAGAAGGTCCTGGAGTTCATGAAGAACGACCCGAAGAAGAAATTCGTAGTTCCCGAGGACTGGCCATACGAAGATGCACGAGAACTTTTTGCTAACCCCGACGTCCGGCCTGCCGATCACGCCGACTGTGACTTCAAGTGGGACGCACCCAACATTGAGGGCCTGATTGAGTTCCTGGTTGGGGACAAGGGCTTCAATGAAGACCGTGTGCGCAACGGTGCCGCTCGTCTGTCGAAGCACCTCAAGACCGCTCAGCAATCCCGGCTGGAGGGATTCTTCAAGCCCGTCGGACGCACTGAAGACGAGAAGGCATCTCTCAAGCGCAAGCACGACGAGAAGCTGCAGCAACAAAAGAAGAAAAAGAAGGAAGATGCCAAGGCTAAGAAGGAAGCCAAGGCGAAGCCGCGTGGAGCGGCCTAGTTTCTTGATGACGAGAGATGCATTTTTCTTTTTTTTTTTCCGTCAAAAACAACTTATGATACAAAATTCTTTCCTGATCTAACATGAGCTGGACTGGCGTGGGCGTTCTATGATTTATTTGTTTCGTTCTTTCTGATGGATTATTTTCATTGTGGAGAATGTCTGTTTCGCCTCGGGCATCGGGGACAAGGCATGAGGTTCCGTGTATCATAGCAAAGGGTGGTCCGATTTAAAACTAAACTGGGGTAATATGTACTCCGATGCTTCTCCATCATTCCAGGACCCTTTTCCAGCTCCTTAGAAGCCAAGATCAAACAAGATCAAGTCGAGCAGATATAGGGATTTTGTCTGATCCTCGGGGCCACAGTTGATAGAAAAGTCCAAAAACAGTATATTTATTATCTTCCATTTATTCTCCATGCATGGAAATATCAAATCACCTTTTCAACTGTCCTGGTGTGGCTATATCGAGGGTGTCAATACTCATCGTTCGCGTAGAGAGTCGTATAGATCGGGGCCGATTAGCGAGATTAGTCGAGAGACCCCCCAACACCAACCACGACTGATCTTCATGATGGAAAGCAGGAGACACTTCGAATGTAGAAAATATATGCTGGCATCAGTTACCATGAACAATTTACACCATCCAAATATGCAACAAGAGTTCACACAGTGCAGGATCAGCGTTATCACCATCTGAGCCCTTGATTCGACGCGCCGGTTGCGGTGGCGGATGCAGATGCGATGATCCCCGTCACACAGCTACGCTGATGGATCAATAATTGGGGTCATACGGCATGGAACGAGGAGTTTGGTCCAATGATTGTGTATTTTTTATTATTCTCTCTATCTGTTGTTGGTTGTTGTGATAGAACGTGCTCATCATATGGGTCCCTATACTACATCTATCCCGGGTCGATCCCAGGCCCGGTAACTTTATGAGTGCGAATCAGCGGGGAGAGGTGGGATCGGGGCTATTCTGTGTCTTTTATTGGTTATGTCTTGCTGATCCTGATGTGATTATGTAGTGGCGTTGCCGCCAGGTTGTAAGCTTCCAGGGTTTCCCCTCTCTTGGGCCAGACCTTGGTATACTAACTATGTTGTATATCGCGTGCCCTGATCTGGAGAGTGAAGTTGGCTTCATAAATCGTATGGTTTGCCATGGCACTTCTAGTGTCTAGTTATCTTAATAAGATGTTAATAAATAAAAAAATTCCATTAATTTCCCTGTTAGTTTTGATGATATATATATGTGGTCAGCTGTATTACTTCTGGTGTAAATTCTCATTTTCCTACTATTATTCTCATTATTGTCCTAATATAAAGACTGAAGTCGAATCATTATCAGTCATGTTTTCAAATTCATATTACCTCGAGGTATACCTAGGTAGATATGTTGTCAAAGTTCGTGTATGCGTCCAAAGTGCCCGAGTCTCGACATCATCTTGGAGGTTGTACCATGGAAATCGAGTCAGCCTTTTAGAAATCCCCGTGACCTTTCACGAGGTAATGCAGGTCCAGGTCCCCTCTAAGCAAGGAGGTTTCAATTGCATCCACGTTATAAGTATATATATATAAAAGGTCATAATATACCTCTGGATTCTAAGTCTCAAGGAGGGTTCCTAGATCCTCACTAAAGAGGGAATGGTTACCCTAGACGGCATTGGAATGTACAGGAAAAAGGATCTCCCCCTCTCTGAGAAGATATGCCTCCAAAATAGAGTATGCGCGATTTCTATCGAGGGGAAGACGCGTAGAAGTACCAGTCTACCAGTTTATATGATTATTGTCGCGTTATAATCTTGTAGAATCTTTCTGTTATTCTAATCCAGATTGAAAAAAAAAAGAAGATAAAAGTATCTTGATATTCATAAGTATCTCATCTATCTCATATCAAAAAGAGAGAAAGAGAATGTGTAGACATCAACCATATTCTTTATTCTTCAAGTTGGAACACACGCGAAGAGATACTCGTAAAGAACACACCGAGACAGGAAAGAAACACAACATTTAATTCAAAAGAAAAACTGGCTAAAAGATAGAGAGCATTTAAAAACAAAATCAGAAAGAAAGTGCTTTTTTTATTTTTTCACTCTGATGATCTTGTTGTCAACACCGGTCGCCTATAAATCACGGATGCCCCGCGGCCTTCCCTTTCCCTTCTGCTCTTTTTTCTTCCTCTTCTGCTTTCAACTCCCACTACCTTTTTCTTTTAAACTAAACTTCTCATCTCTTGATAACTTGAACTTCTTCATATTCTCCCCTTCTCACTTTTAAATCAATCATGCCTCCCAAGAAGGTTACCAGCGCGCCCAAGAAGGTGGCGTCGACTACTGCTCCTCACACCTCTTACCGTGGTATGTTTTCACTGATCCTGAATGCCCACCATATCGCGTAAAAGTGATATGGACATGAATCTAGTCGCGAACATCTGCTGATTCGATCAATACAGATATGATCAAGGACGCCATTATTAGCGTGAGTTGATCACTGCCGGCGCGAGCCAACCTGGTTGTTGTGATTTGGGTCGCGCGCCCGACCGTGACACGTCTTTGGCTTTGGGCATAGACAACCACAACAAAACCAGTTCTTAGTTTTTATTTGTTTTCATTGCTGACTCTTGTCCTTTCTGCGTATAGCTGAAGGAACGCAATGGTAGCAGGTATGTATTCTGGTGTTCTCCTTCGTCGCCGATGCCTCCGGGAGAGGTCCCGGCATTTCGCGCCATTCATTCTAGTAACCAGTCACTAACTGAATCTCCCCTTATTTTAGTCGCCAGGCTATCAAGAAGTACGTTCAGTCTAACAACAAGATCAACGTCACTTCCCAGAGTGTCTTCGACTCTCAGTTCAACAAGGCTATCAAGGCCGGTGTTGAGAAGAATGAGTTCACTCAGCCCAAGGGTATGTTCCTATGTACCCTGCCTGCGCGCATTGACCCTATCCTACTCTGCGTGATCTGATTCAACTTCTGCATTTCGTCGCATGAGTTTCGGATGGTTTCATCCGTTATTTGATCATTTAACTGACGCGTCATCATCTAGGCCCATCTGGCCCTCTGAAGCTTGCGAAGAAGGATGCTCCTGTCAAGGCCGCTCCTAAGCCTGCCCCCAAGGCTTCTACCAAAGCTCCTGCTCCTGCTAAAGCTCCTGCTAAGGCCCCGGCTAAGGTAAGCTCTCATCGAAGGATGTATTTCTATGGTCCCAACTAATTGTGATATAAGACCCCCACCAAGACTGGTCCCAAGACTGTCACAAAGACTGCGGGCAAGAAGGCCGCCACCAAGCCCAAGGCTAACTCTGGCAAGGCTCGCAAGACCTCCACCGCCGTAAGTTGATCTCCGGATGTTCAGTCCATCTGCCCCCCTTGATCGACCTGTTACTGACGAACATTCCAGGCCCCGGCTGTCGTTGAGCAGCCCAAGATTCTGGGAAAGACCAAGTCTGGCCGTATCACCAAGACTACTGCCCCGCAGCCCACAACTACCCGGGCTGCTCCCAAGAAGCGGACCACCAAGAAATAGAGGCTTCGATGTCCTCTTGTCTTTTTCACTAGGTTGAACTCTCCCTATATTTTCACGTGCGCATTTCCAGGGAGAGTACCTGGTCCTTATTCCTCTGTTCTTCTTTTGTAATTTCTTTCTTTGGACTGATTGATCTCTGTGGCTCTGATGGTTTCCTTGGCTTTTTTGCTTCTCTTTTGATTTTTCTTTTTGGGGTATCTTTGTTATGATGGCTTTGCTTCTTTCCAAAGTCCTATGGATGGCGTCCTGCGGTGGGTTTTGCAATGGGGAACTGCAGTCTTCTTATTACCTTGATATCGTGATTAATTCCATTATCACTGGAATTCAAATTGGTTTTTGGTTGAATAAGGGAGGTTAAACTGTAGTACTACCTCGACTGCCGATCGCGTATATTGTACGGAGTAGTCGTAAACAAACTGTAGATCTCTCCACATTCTCCCGTGTCAGTGATTTATTTTTATCTTTGTATCTTTGTGTCATTCTATTGGACTGAAACAAGTATTATTACTTTATTACCAGAGGATGCTTAGAGTCCTAACTAAGCCCTGACTGGAACTGAATATACCTAGGTAATACCCGGGGTTTACAATCTGATACCGGGGCTTTATTTAATACATGCAAACAGTGGGTAGAGAAACAGTAAATGGGTGTAATAAAACGAGCAAGTAGTGATCATACATATGTAACATCTTTCTACCATCATCTCTTAATATCAGAGACATATACTGTGACTATCATATGCCACTGGAGAACTTCAACAAGCATCTCAAGCACATCATCCAAGGATGCCTAGAAGAGTCTGAGAGACCATGCCATCTGTACAAAAAACATTCGCCAGCATTCCAAAAGCCAGGACATAACAAGGCATTTAAATAGGAAGCCGACAAACCCGATGGTTTCCATCGGCCTAAACCGGGATAGTTGATGTCTGTCATGATAGCTCTCTTGGTTTTTTGATTGTTCAGTGCCGTTGAAGAAGCTATCTGGAGTTCCCATAATATAGGCGAACACGCACGGTCGAAGTGTCCCTCTCTACCTGATTGAATAGACTTTAGATCCATTGTTACTTGAAGCAGTCATAGGGAGGTTTGGAGGAATCATCTTGGTAGGTAGGACTCGAATGGAAAAACCTCCTGTTCTGACGAGAACTTCTGTCCCACCTGCAATTATCTTAATATGTCACCGGAAGGAGTTCCTCACTGCAGTGCCTCCTAGAAATCCCTAAAGAGCAATTCCGGTTAGAATGGGGATTAAGTAGCGATAGAGAAACTCCTGTCCCGCTCGATCTGTGCCCAATCAACACATTCAGGGACTGCGTTCACTTCTTTCTAGTTAGAGCTTTTATAGTATACTGTCTTCTCCATGATGTTCCTTCAAAATGCTGTACATATCAAATCGACCAAAACATTCTCCCGTATTGCTTTTGCAAAACTGCGAGATATCACTATCTATTTTAGTAGACCTTGGGAGTCTATATAGCCTTTATGAGTTGATCAAGATTCACACTCGGATGCACTAGATCAAGACTCAGTGGGGGCCGAACCTTAAGACGCCCATCATATCCTGAGATAATTTTCGATTGCAACTATTTTATGAATATATCAATTATAATATCAACAGGTCTTGACAATTTCGAGGGTGCAAATCAGTCAAGTGAACTCATATCCTAATATTTTCATAACGGAGAACTTCCACCCATTCGAGCAGTTTCTTCCAGTTTATGAATGATTGGAGGATGTGCGTGCTACGATTGAGCTACAGAAGTCATACGACGAGGCGGGATTTTGGATCTTTCAATCCTACCTTGCCATTCATATGTACACATAGAGACATTCACCTCCATCGATGTAACGGATGTAACGATCCGTAAGGGTTATGCTAGCGATCTCTGGATGGCCATGCCGATACTGCAGATTCCAAATTGGATATTAAGGTCGATAAGTTAAAAGTTAAATCGGTTAAGGTAGAGATACTGCGCCACATGGTATGGACAAACCCATGGAAAGGGAGAACCAAGATAATTGGTTGGCGCATACCTAGGTAGGAGGGGTGATAACTAACTAGTTAGTTAGAGAAGAGCACATGTCTTTAGAGATAGCTCGGATATGGTAATTGACGCTTCACAGGTTCGAAGTTTGATTTGTATGCGGATGTCCTTTTACTATCGGCTCGGATGTTGGAATTTATTCATCCCGGAGCTCGGAGGCGACGGGGGTGCCGGGCAGGGACTATCCTTATTATATTTATATTGTATCTTTGTATCTTTGTATCTTCGTACAGGAAGTGGAGAATTTCCCCCTGTGGCGCAGATGCGGAAGATTTCATTATGGGGCTATTTATGGAACAATTGCTTGTACTGGAAGATGTATACATACATTAATTATGTAACTATAACTAGTTAACTAGAGACAGTAGAAGAACATTGTCTGATTCTTTATCTCCCCAGGGCTGAAATCCAAAGAAATGGCTCAGGGACAGATAGGCTGATTGACATTGTAATTGGTGCATCTCCACGTGTATTTAGTTAGTATGTTATGTATGAAATAGGTATGCGTACGGTATCATTCTATACATATGTAGTTAAAAGACTCGATGTAAGAGTTTGTGTAACGATCTCCTTGCATAAACCACTCCGTTTACTGTATTGAATTAGAGAATGACCAATAAAATTGATAGTTTTATGTTGAAGGTAATAGTAATATAACAGTAACTATAGTAGTATAACAGTATAACAAGAGTAAAGAAAAGAAATAAAAAATGATGTGATAAACCGCGCTCATTGAACATCCGAGTTTTTTTTTATGCAGCAGCCTGATACATGTACTTAGTCTAGTATTTAACTAGTTAACTACCCATATTATTATACAAACAACAATATGTCGAGGTATATAAAGAATTAAAATAAAAGGGTCTATATCTATCGGAATATAATATGAACGTTTAACACATAAAAAAAAAAAAAAACTCATATAGAAGAGATAAACGGTGGAGTTATACTGGATGTACTCCGTACATACGTGTAATTCTTTTTCTCCCAGACAACCATCCTTCTCCCCTTCCACATCCTCCCCCCATATTTCCCCCATTTTAAAACAACCTCAAGTTTACATCTTCCCCCTTTTCCCTTGCATTGAATTATGTTGATCGGTTGAATACCCTCTGGGCAACTGGCTCTATACTTTCTTTGTTTTCCTCTAATATCATCTGGAACTCCGTCCGGTTCACAACTTTCCTGGATCTCCGCCAATTAGGGCGACTGCCGTCACTTCGGGTTGCCGGTCCACGCAGAACTCACGTCACCCCCGTTTCCCTGAAAATTCAACATGCCTGCCTTCTCCAACGAGCTCTCCTACCAGACTGCCACTGCGACGGCTACCCACCCTCGCTCCTTCGAATCCTCTAGAAAGTCGCACGACAAGACCCCCGTCGGAAATACTTTCCTGTGGACCAACTGGCCCAACGAAACCGACTTGAATCACGACTCCCATCAGAATGACCGACAACTTTTGACCGACCTGAAGAACGGCAGTGCATACTCCCTGAATGGCCCTCGATCTAGTGTCGGCTCGTACACGCGCGAACTGCCCCTGTCCAAGGACGGCAGCATGCATTCGGTAGGCAATGGATCCACGAGGGATCCCCGCGAGAACGGCCGCCCGTCCGTTATGCTGGACCGTAAACCTTCGGACAGTGGACCGGGAGCTATTTCCACAACAGCATCCCCTTCCAGCCAACAACCCAATGGTACTGCAAATGGCCGACCTGTCCAAGGGAAACTCATGGTCAATGGAGACGTTCATCCACCCTACGCCGATGAGTCTTCAATCTCGCCATCGGCCTCACTCTTACAAATCCCGCAGCAGGATGAGAACGGTCGTTATTCTCCAGACCCTGATCGCCTGGCACCTAATTCGAAGCCCGCCCAACCACGCCACTCCTCCCCTCCCGCCTCATCCATACTCGACGCTGCCTCGGTGCCGGAATCGCAGAACTCGAGTATGCGACAACGACATTCATTGCAGGTTCCACGAACGCCCAGTGTTCGACGAGATAGCCGAGAATACACCGATGATGCTGCGTACAGCAGTGGCCGAATGTCACCGACCACCGGCTTCCGACGCGCGTCAGTCGGTCTGATTAGACGGGCAACGAAAAACAGCACCCATCAAGATGTCACTTTGGATGAGGCACCGCCGGATGAAGATGCGGCCCGATGGGCTGAAGCTATTAAACAAAAGCGGGCCTCACGACGACGCCGTGAAGAGGAGGACGATGATCGGGTGATTGTCGGCACCAAAGTGGACCAGAATCACGTCAACTATGTGACAGCATACAACATGTTGACTGGTATCCGCTTTACGGTCTCGAGAATCAACGCGAAAATGGACCGGGAACTCACCCCGGCGGACTTTGATGCCAAACACAAGTTCTCCTTTGACATGTGCGCACCCCTTTCGATGTTGATAACTTGGACGTGACTGACAGCAGCAGAACGGGAAATGAACTGATTCCCTCCGCAAAATATGACTTCAAGTTCAAAGACTATGCACCTTGGGTGTTCCGACACCTTCGCTCCAAGTTCCGTCTCGATCCCGCCGACTACCTTATGTCCCTCACAAGCAAGTACATTCTGTCGGAATTGGGCTCCCCCGGTAAGAGCGGGAGCTTCTTTTACTTCTCACGCGACTACAAGTACATCATCAAGACCATCCACCATTCCGAGCACAAGCTTCTCCGAAAGGTTCTTCCTGAGTACTACCGGCACGTGGAGAACAACCCAAACACACTCATCTCACAATTCTACGGATTGCACCGAGTCAAAATGGCATACGGCCGAAAGATCCACTTTGTCGTAATGAACAACCTGTTCCCGCCGCACCGGGATATCCACCAGACGTTCGACCTGAAGGGCTCGACGATTGGTCGTGATCTGCAAGAGTCAGATCTCGAGAGAAACCCCAGAGCGACTATGAAGGACCTGAACTGGGTTCGTCGCAACC